CAGCATAGGTAAACACTGTCTCACCTCCTCCCACAACCACATCAAAGTTACAACTAACCTACAACACAACCATCATTCAGAACCACCTGACATCGAGCTGAATGTTAGTCCTACAACTACGGAATTAAAGCAGCAGCCACATCCAGACTGGTAGGAGGGGCGGAGGAGGACGGGCTGGTCCCACACCCACGTGTGGCGGATAAAAATCAGGAGGACACCTCGGCTGGGAAGGTCCTCCCTGAGGACTGAGGGGTCCCCGTCCCACACCAGGTGCCCTGCTCAGGGCTCCAGTGCCAGGAAGAGAATCCCCATAACTTCTGGGGGAAAAGTTAAACCAGCAGGAACTGAGACTGAGGGAGGCTGCAGCTGTGGGAGCCTCAGGCAGCTCCTCTTAAAGGGCCTGCACATGGACTTACTCAGACTTGCTCCCTCTGAGCTCAAAGGGGAGGCAGCCTGAGGGGTGCCAGAGACATACAGGGAAGAGCTGAGCTGTTTGGCTTCAGGAGGAGGGCTGGAGGGACAGCTTTCTCCTGGTCAGAGATGCTGGCAGAGGCCTTTGTTCCTTTGGTGAGCCCTTCCCTGGGGCAGCAGACAGCCGCCATATCTGGGACTCCAGCAACCTGGCTCACACTGGTAGCCCCGCCCTGGTGATTCCCTGAGGCCCCGCCCCACCCAACTTTTGGGCCACCCAAGCTGTTTCCAAAAGCTTTACCATAGGATTGGCCTGTCTTGTATCCTGCTTCAGAGTTTCCTAAAATCTCTCAAACAAGCAGCATCTGGTCTCAGCGAGCCCCATACCTCTTGTTAAGTGGCCCCAGACCTGGCACTAGAAGCAACCAGCCTTGGTTCACAAGTTGGCTTTTCCTGAACACCTCCAACACCAGCATAAGAAGCAGCCATTGGAAGATCACTTTGTAGCTTATGCCGGGTGGCCCCGGATAGAACACAGCCAGAGCCAGCACACCCAGTGGACAGCTTCAGACCATGTCGAAGCACCACCACCCAACCACCTCCACACTGACACACTCAAGGAGTAGACTCAGTGGGTACCAGAGCCCTGCTGAAGTAAGTCTTGCTCTGTGTGGTGGGCCCCTGCTGATCCTCCAAGGTAGTCAGAGGTCAGTGGGCAGTGGGCACAGCCAGTCCTTTCAGCTGATCAGCCTGAGTAAATCCCTCCCATTGATGTGCCAACAGCAATCAAGATTCAATTACAACAGAAGGGTGTACAGTCCACACTAGGGGTGCACCTTGAAGGCCCAGCTGGGGTGATCAGGGAGGCTGTGCCACTGGATCCTACAGGAGACCTACAACAGTAGGCCACCCTAGGAAGCCTAGGAGACATAGTAACTCTACCTAATACAGAGAAACAGTCACAGGAAAGCAGCCAAAATGAGGACACACACAAACATGTCCCACAGACCAGAGATTCCTGGGTTCAATTACTGCTAAGGGCATGTACCTCGGTTGCAGTTTGTCCCCGGCCCTGGTTGGTAGTGCGGGTGGCAACCACTCGATATGTCTCTTTCATGTCGATGTTTTTCTCTCTCTCTCTCTCCCTCCCACTCTATCTGAACAAAACGTGGAAAAATGTCCTCGGGTGAGGATAAAAAAAAAATAGAATCAATGGACATATCAAGAGTTTCCCAGACAAGAAAAAGCTAAAGGAGTTCATCATCACCAAACCATTATTATGTGAAATGTTGAAGGGTCTTCTTGAAGGGGACGAAGAACAAAAATATAAACAATAAAATGGCAATTAATACATTTCTATCAACAGTTGAATCTACAAACAAAATGAGCAAGCAGAACAGAAACAGACTCATAGATGCAGAGAACTTTTTGTGGCTTGCCAGATGGGTGGGGGTTGGGGGGATGGGTGAAAAAGATGAAGGAATTAAGAAGTACAAATTGGTTGTTAGACTGATGAACCTCAAAGGGAAGGGGGGAGGGAGGGCGGGATCAGATAAACCAAAGAACTTCTGTGCATATATGCATAACTGACAATAGTGTGGGGAAGGCAGGAGGGGGATGGGAATGGGAAGGAGGTGGTCAATGGGGTCAAAAGGGGGGAACATCTGTAATACATTCAACAATAAAAATAAGTTAAAAAAGAAAAAAATAAAATCCAGTTTACGACTCTCAGGCTTAATTCTCGTAGAACTATTTGTTCGGTTGACTCTTGAAAAAATAGTCCCAGGGTTAAAACTGCCTGTGTTCTGAGAGCATCCCCCACCTCTGCGTGGGCATCCCTCCATCAAAGGCTCACTGACTGTTCCCTGCAGGCCTCGTGTGAATTGGCCTGGAAGTCGGTCCACTGGGAGGTGGCGATAGCAGCTGCCAACAAACTGCCCTGCTTTCCCAGGAAGCCTGCTCCAGCCCCTTCCTACTCACTCAGCAAGTCCTCATTCCAGGCTGCTGACCTTGGATTTCTCCCCATCGTGTAAACACAACCAACTGGGAAACTACATTCCTGAAGGAAATTCTCAGCAGAAATGGAAGATGAATACTCCAACACACTCAGCACTTACAACTAATTTTACGTGGACTTTCCTATTTCCTGAGCCTCTGGGCTTCCTTCTCATTTTCTGTATACAACCCTGCTTTAAGGTGTTTGAATAAATGCCTCCCCAATAGCCCTTAGTTCTGTGGTTTTTCTCAGATGGATTTCTAGGGAAGGAGAGGCCATCTGGCAGAGTGGATAAACGGAAGGAAGCTCGTCCAGGTAACTCCTTGTTAAGTTGCTTCATGAACCAACCCAGGATCTACTCGACTTTTTGTAAGATAATACAATTCTTGTAGTATTTAAGCCACTTTTGGTTGAGGTTTCTGTTACAGCTGAAACATCCTAATTGTCATAGGATGAAAAGGAATTTTTGTCATAGGTTTTTGTTGCTGTTATAAATACTTTTTAGAAAGGCTGGAGCAGGTAATGATAGATAGAAGGCCTCTGGGGACCAGGGTGATGCTACTCAAAGTGTGGTTCAAGGACCTGCAGTGTCAGAGTTACCTAAGAGTTGGTTAGGAATGCAAGTTAAAGGGGCTACCTCTCAGACCTACCAAATCAGATTCTCTGGAAGTGAGGCTGGGAATATATATTTTAATAAGGCACTCTCCAGTGATTTTGATGCAACTAAAGTTAGAGAAAACACTAACCTAGGGCACACCTACAGCTGGGAGAGTGGTCCAACAGAGGACGTGCTGTGTCTCTAGCACATTATTAAGCTCCCAGATGCTGATTTAATCCTCTATGTTCATTCTCCTTTTCTGTCAAAACTATGTGAGAATCAAATGAGGAACTGGGTGTAAAAATGGTTTGACAGAGTTAAAACCTTGGTCCCCAGGAGAGTCCCTGAGCTGACCCAGCTCTACCAGCATCCAAGGCTGCAAACAGATGTATGGGATCAGGCTGGACTCTGCCTCTCCAGCTGGAGCTTCTTTTGTAGGACCTGCCTCCATCTGGTGTCCAGGTGCCCAGTGATGGAACCAGAAGGGAGAAGATGGATACTCACTGTCATCTTTCTTTTTTTTTTTTTATCCTCACCCGAGGACATTTTTGCATTTATCTTCAGATAGAGGGGGAGGGAGAGAGGGAGGAAGAGAGAGAGAAACATTGAAGTGAGAGAGACACATCGACTGATTGCCACCCATACGACTTCCAACTGGGGCCGGGGACAAACTGCAACCGAGGTACGTGCCCTTAGTGAGAACCGAACCCGGGACTCTCTGGTCCGCAGGCCGAACCGGCCAGGGCCTTACTGTCATCTGAATTGAACTCAATTGCCCCTATTTTGAGTTTTCTTTTTTGGATTCCTGCGATGCGGAAGAATAATAAACCCTTATGGCTCACGTCCCAGTGCTGCCCCTGTCTTACAACCTCTGTGATCTCAGCTGTCCTCCCTCCTCCGACCTCTACTGAAGTGGCCCACCCACACCAACCCCAGATTTCCCTGGCCTTTCATACCCGGGGAGGCACAGGACCTGCTGCCCTGGGGACAGACTAACTACTAGGTCAGGAGCCCTTCTACCTCTCAAGTTACTAGGTGTTGCCTCCCCCATTGTGGTGTTATCAGACTGAAGGGGCCATTTGCCTGTGCACATCAAAGCCCAGCGAGACAAACAGGAGTGTGCAGCCTAGAAAGTAAAGATTTATTAAGGAGATGGCAGTCACAGATAGCTAATGCTGAAAAACCTAGTTCCCAATGGCTTCTAGGGGATGGCTTACATAAGGGGGGAAAAATCATTAATCAATGATTAAGGGAGTTAAGTTAGGGTCATGGTCAGGGTCCTGGTCTCTGATGATTGGTCAGCACTGGAGTAGGGGGCAGTTGGTCATTGCATCTGGTCTTGTTGTCAGCCATGGCCTAGCTTCATCTGAGTTTGCAAGGATTCTGTTGGTGGAGTGTTTAGGAGCTGAAACACAACTAAGGCCTAGATGTTATCTCTAGTTTGACCAAAACTCTTTCTCTATGGTCAACGGACCCGAATGTTTTCTAAGATTATTTAATGTGGGCTAGAAACTCAATGGTCTGAGGGCTTAATGATCATATAAAGGAGAGGGAGGTGGCACTGTGAGGCCAATTTGAGTCAAAGGAAAAAAATCAAAATAAAAGGGCAAATTAAAGAAAATAAGGTTACTACAGGGTTACGGAGAGAACCACCCTACAAGCCAACCCTGAGGCCCACTCAGAGGGGGTGCGCCCACTGCATGGGGTACCCATGATTGGGGAGAAGAAGGCGAGTCTGCTGGTCAGAGGGCCAATCAGAGCAGGGCAGGCAAGCGGCCTGCTCCAGTGGCCACTCAGGTGTAGGCTGACCACTCTGCCTGCCCTAGGACTGGGCGAGCTTCCTGCCAATCAGGGGCGGGGCAAACGGAGCTCGGCCAGTAGCGGGAGGCGGCAGCGTCAGCGCCTAGTTGGTGGTCCCTGCGCTGGCCCGCTAACCGGTCCGCTGGCCGAGGGAGCCGCGGCCCCTAGGCCCCCGGCGCGCTGCGCTCTCGCCCCCCGACCCCGCCGGCTCGTGGCCCGCGCCATGCCAGGCGCTGCTCCATTCTAGTGCCGCCGTGTCCGTTGCCCGCCTGCCTGAAGCCGCGCCCACAGCCCAGAGCCAGAGGGATGGTGGTAGTCACGGGGCGGGAGCCAGACAGCCGTCGCCCGGACGGTGCAATGTCCAGCTCCGACGCCGAAGACGACTTTCTGGAGCCGGCCACCCCGACGGCCACGCAAGCGGGGCAAGCGCTTCCCCTCCTGCCTCAAGAGGTACCTGGACGGAGGTGGTGGGGGGCAGGTGCTGGGCGGAGCTGACCTTGGGATGTGAGCCCGCTACGTTTGGAGATCAAGGGACGGGCCGAGGGGGGCGCCAGAGGAGCTGTGCTCTCCTGCCCACCTGCCCTTCCCCGCCCGAGGAACGCACGAGGCGTGTCTTCCCTGCCCCAGAGATCACCTGTCCCCGAACCCCCTCCTTCCAGTACTCACTGCCACTAAGATGGATTTACTCCGTGGAAAGGGGACCTTGGAGCCCCAAGAGATGATAGAGCTTTCTAGAATATCCAAGAGGCCTTGGTGGTTACCCCAACCCAATGTCCAGCTGCCCTGAGAGTGGAGTCAGGGACTGTGTGCAGGTAAAAAGCAGCGCAGGTGTTAGAGGTGAGCACACTCCCCTGACAGCTCCCCGACTTTCCCTCATTAGCTGCTGTGCTGGTGCAGTGGCTTCCACTGGTCTTCGCATGTATGACAGTATCATATTAACGCCTGAAATGACCCTTAAGAGAAGGGAAAAGAATAGGGAAGGTGGGACACCTAGGACACTGAAGACAGACTAGGAAGGAAGAGCTAAGGGAGTGTCAGATATGGGAGAATGTGATGTGTGGAGACTTAGGAGAATGGACAGAGCCCCAGAGGGGCTGGGCCCGGCTGGGTGAGGCTTTGGGGAAGCAGATAAGTGTTATTGGGGGGTTAGAAATCCATATGTTTAATGTCATGTGACACTTGTGAAAATGAGCAGAACTCTAGAAGTACTCTTTGATATTGAGGGGGAAGAGAGCCATTACAGACACAGTGGTGCTGTTTCTGTGTGCACTGTCATTGGGGAAACCATGTGGTTTGAAGGATAGAGTACGGGACCCAGAGACTTCAGGCCAGGACTCCAGTGCCAGCTCCCCCACAGATTACATTGCTCCATGTGAGATCTAAAACTGTTTTTTGACTGCTTTTTCCTCTCTGCCTCAGGCTTTTCATCTCTAATATGGAGCAAACACTTGGATTGTTATGGGTATGAGAAATCCTCGGAAAAGGTTTAAAGAGCTCCAGAAATGTAAAGTATTATTGTCCCAAAATCATATTTGAGTCCTTGGTATGCACATAGAATAGTTTTAGAGGAGCTATAGAATCAGCAAAAGGCATTTCCTGTCCTTTGGGTGCAGAAGAGTCACAGTACATAATATACATGGAATTGTAAATACCTATCTATCTATTTCATTTATTCATTTAGTGCATATTTGGGTGTTTACTGTGAGTCAGGCACTGCGCAAGGCCCTGGGGAACTTTTATTTAATCTATACATACCCTACTTTATTCACAAAGAATTTGAAAATTGGGAGAAAGGACTTACTAGACAAATATACATAGACTTTCACTGGAGCCTGAGAGATGTCGTAATATTGAAAAGTATGCACTGGGACAAAATTTTAATCTGGAGGAGGAGGGTTGGAAAATTAGAGAGAACTGGCCTTGTTTCTTTCAAATTCACAAGGAGTGAAAGATATCAAGAGAGGAAAAAGAAAAAGAACAGAAAGGTCTAGAGCATTTTAGAAAGAACCTAGAGTTCTCAGGGCAAATCTATTCCATCATTCTCTGTTCTTCACCCCACCCTTGCCTGCGGAACCTTAGCTGGACTGGGGATTTATCTCACTCCACAGATTAAGAAGGAATTACTCAACAAACATTCACGAGCCCTGCTGTGGGTGGCCTCATGATGGTGAACAAGATGGTGTCCCTGCCTCCGAAGCTTCGGGTCTAGAAGGGTGGGCTGACAGAAGAAAATAATTACCACGGTATTGTGTTAGGCACTATAATAGAGGAGAATGTGGCATACAGTGAAGGCACAGAGGAAGGAGTGGTTAGTTAACACTGTCTTGGGAGCTGGCATGGGACAATAGAGCAGAAACGCTCACAGAGTCGGGGAACTTGAATAGAAGCCCTTAGAATGAGTGACTGCTGCTAACCTATATGATATCTTGGCATGAATTAGAAAAAGGGCACACAGATCACTCTCATCCAGGCTCCCTTGTGCAGTGAGCAGTGTACGCCACCATATGGAGCACTTGCAATTGCTAGATGGCCAAAGGGAGAGTGGTAAGAGTATTTTGGACAGAGAAGACAGCTTGGCAAGGGCACAAAAATGGTAAATTTGGGAAGTGCAAGGAGGACTGTGAAGGCGCTGAGCTGTAGAGCAGAAATAGTAGGATTGGGGTGGAGAGACCTGATTGAGGCGCTGTTGGGAAGGATGGATAGGACTTGGCAGCTGGTGAGTGTGGGGAAAGGGAGGAGAGTGGAGAGTGTTCAGGAAGACTCCTCGGTTTTGGTTTTGGGTGACTGAGTGAATGATGAGGCTTTGATCAGACCCAAGTGGACTGCAGAACAGCCCGGCTCTCATTTTTCTTGCCTGGCTGATCATGCAGCTGTTTGTTTTTTTTCTTTATTGATTTTAGAGAGAGAGGAAGGGAGAGGGAGAGAGTGAGAGACATTGATGAAAGAACATCGATGGGCCGCCTCCTGCATGCCCCCCACTGGGGATTTGGCCCACAACCTGGGCATGTGCCCTGACCGGGAATCAAACCGGCAACCTCTCGGTGTATGGGTCAGTGCTCAACCACTGAGCCACACCGGTTGGGCGCAGCTGTTTTGTTTGTTTGTTTGTTTTTTCCAGTTTCCTGAAGTTGTTCCCCTTAACATTGGAGGGGCTCACTTTACCACACGCCTGTCCACCCTGCGGCGCTACGAAGACACCATGCTGGCAGCCATGTTCAGCGGGCGTCATTACATCCCCACCGATGCCGAGGGCCGGTACTTCATTGACCGGGACGGCACACACTTTGGGTATGTTTCTCCCTCTACGATCATCTTTGTAGTCCTAGCAAATGGGTGGCCCGGGCTTGGGCATGGGGCTTTAGTAACTTCCATAGTACCCAGAAGAGGAGATAACATACTGACAGAATTTAATAAATGTGCCTGTTAAATTGGAGCAGAATTTTTAGTTTCTTTCGCAGGGGAGGCAAGGCCAGCTAGAGAAATCCCAGGTAACACGCTGGCCGGATGCGATGAAACTGATTCTGTCCTTCATAGTTGAAGACTGTGGAGTTGTCATCTGTGTGGAAAGGAATAGGTGTGATCCCCCCTGGGGGGGGGGGTTCAAGTCACCTTCTCGGAGAATACCCTCAGATCAGGTTCTGGGGCTCAGCATTGCCATTGGGGAGGAAGTGTGGTGTTTGGCCGTGGTCCCCAGACTTCCTTCAGTAGTTTAAAGCAAACACAAAAGGTGAGGGAAGGGCCAACAAAAGGTTGTCATTCTTGAATGTTGCCCCCCAAAAAGTCTCAAAAAACAAAACAACCTTCAATTATTACTGTCGTTTTAACACTAAAACATGGAAACATGGACTCTCAAAAAATAGATAGCCTTTCCCAGACACCCTTACACATAAATAGTTTAAAGACTTTTTATGTCCGTTTCCTTGTTTGTGAAATGAGAAATAACTATAGCTGCCTTGCAGGCCTATCGTGTGGATTAAAGGAGACGTGGTGTGACCCCTGGCCAGGTCCTTTCGGAGTTTATGGCTCAAACTCGTTTCCTCTTAGCAGTCTAACTTTGGAGATGACTAAAGAACGAACGTGGTCCTTGACCTTGAACAAAATGGCCAGGGAGGCAGAACTGTCCAATCACTCCATCTCTGTGATGGCCTCTAAGTAGCATTTTCCACATTGGGAGCAGGGTCATTTTTATCCTCAGAAAGGAAACTCCGGTCAAATAATGAGCTTTGAAGCATCTGGGTTTCTCCACTGGGTTGTCAGCTGCCTCCAGTGCTGAGAAAACAAAGTGTCACATCGCTCTGCAGAGCTATAAAAAGGTTTTTGTTTGCAGGCTGTTTGCGGGAAGAAAGTGCTGGCCCCAGCTGGCAGCTCCCACAACACTCGTGGCTGAGCCTTGCCCTGGGGATAAGCTTTTCAGAGCTTACCAAGGGTTGCTGAAGATCCTAGAGGACCAGTTTGGAAGGAGTTGTGGGGAGGAGGAATAGGGCTTGGCTTTAGCTGGAGAGTGCCAGAGCCAGGCAAGGGTGTTGGGCAGAAAGCAGGATATTGTGGCCTTTATCCTCAGACTGCAGGGCTCCAGTGGCCTGTGATTCACCAGCAGCAGATGAAGTTGTTGAAAGACTCAGATAAAGTTCCCTGGTCAAGTAGCTCTGTTGGTAAGAACGTCTTCCCCATATGCCAAGGTTGCAGGTTTGATCTCCAGTCAGGGCACATAACAAGAAGCAACCAATGAATATATAAATAAGCAGAACAACAAATCGATGTCTCTTTCTCTCTTCCCCTCCCTCTTCCTCTCTGTAAAATCAACTTTAAAAAAAATTTTTTTTTTTTACTTTACAGAGAGAGGAAATGAGAAAGAGAGCGATAGAAACATCGATGAGAGAGAACACTGATTGGCTGCCTCCTTCCTGCCCCCTACTGGGAATCGTGCCTACAACCTGGGCATGTGTCCTGACTGGGAATCGAACTGGCGATCTCTTGCTGCATGGGTCAGCGCTCAACCACTGAGTCACACCGGCCGGACCAACTTTTTAAAAAAAGAAAGAAAAACTCAGATAAAGTAAAATAGGGATTTAGGACATTTGGAGAGGTAAATTTCTCAGCTGGTGTAGCTCACCTATCCTCATCGCCAGCCATGGAGGCTGCTTGGGCCTCCACTTGGGGCAGTTTTCCATTGTGATCAATGAGTGCAGCCCTGGCTGGTTTTGCTCAGTGGTCAGAGTATTGGCCCGAGGACTGAAGGGTCTTGGGTTTGATTCCCAGTCAGGGGCACGTACCTGGTTGTAAGTTCGATCCCCAGCCCCAGTTGGGGTCATGTGGGTGGCGACCAATAGATGTGTCTCTTTCACCTTGAAGTTTCTCTTTTTTTCTCTTCCTCCCCCCTTCCCTTTCTGTCTAAAAATCAGTGGAAAAATATCCTTGGGTGAGGATTAACAATAATAACAACAAAAATGAGCACTTTGGATTCCAGTGTGGACCACTGTGTGTGTGGACGTGGAGTCACCCCCATCTGCATCTGAGCCTCTGGCTAACTGTGGCTCCTTGAGCACGGATGTTCCTTAACCTCTTTGAGCCCCACTTTCTCTTTATTATATGTTTATTTTTAATCCTCACCCGAGGATATTTTTACATTTTTGTTCAGATAGAGTGGGAGGAGGAGGAGGAGAGAGAGAAACATCGATGTGAGAGGGACACATCAAGTGGTTGCCTCCCGCACAATCCCAATCGGGGCCAAGGATCAATCGCAACTGAGGTATGTGTCCTTGACTGAAATCAAACCCGTAAATCATTGGTCTGCGGGCTGACACTCCTACCGCTGAGCCAAACCAGCCAGGGTCCATTTTTACTTTATAAAATGGACAAAAGCTTGGCCAATGTGGCTCAGTGGTTGAGTGCCGACCCATGCACCAAGAGGTCACTGGTTCGATTCCCAGTCAGGGCACATGCCCAGCTTGCGGGCCCAACCTCCAGTGGGGGGCATGCAGGAGGTTGCCAGTTGATGTTCTCTCTCATCGATATTTCTGTTTCTCTCTTCCTTTCCCTTCCTCTCTAAAAGCAATAAAGAAAATAAATAAGTAAAATGGACATAAGATGACACTTCCATAATGTTATTGAAAGGATTCTGTGGGATAACACATATATAGTAGCTGACACAGATTACTACTTGGTGAGTGTTAGCTGGTGTTGCATTATAATCGTAGACTAACTATAGAGGTAACAGCTTAATCTTGGAATTTACTCACATATCCTTGAAGAAAAACCCTTCCCACACCTTCCTTGATGTATCTGATTACTCTTTGCACTAAAGAAAACTGAAAAGAGAATTAAAACTGAATTTTTATTTTAAGAAAATGCAATATGGCCAGCTGGTGTGGTTCGGTGGATTGAGTGTCATCCCATGGACTGAGAGGTCCCAGTTCAATTCTGATCAGGGCACATGCCCAGGTTGTGGGCTTGATCCCCCTGGGGGAGGTGAGATGGGGGGGACGTGTAGGAGGCAGCCGATGGTTATTTCTGTCTCTCTCCTTTCCCTTCTCAATTAAATCAATTAAAAAAACATATTTAAAGAAAATGCAGTATGTGATTTTATTCACTCCTGGAATTAATTTGTTCAGATGTTAGGTTGAGGCATTTGATTGTCTCCATATAGCTACGGAATAACACTATGGCAAGGATATGTACACGGTGTGCAACTCCTCTGCAGTGCTAGTGGGAATGTAAAACATTGCAACCACTTCGTTAAACGTGCACTATAACTGAACAATTCTACTTCTATGTTTACCCAGGAGAAACGGGTGCATGTGTTCACAGTGAGTCTTATATAGGCATGTTCATCACAGCTTTACTCCTGAAAGCCCCTACTCCAATGTCCATCAACAGGAGAATGGGTGAATAAATTATAGTGCGTATCTCCATACGATGGTATGCTACTTAGCAATAAAAAGCAGCAAACAAATCTTACATGCAACATAAATCTGAAAAACATCAGGTCAAGGGAAAGAAGCCAGGCACAGAAGAGAACGGACTGTATGATTCTACTTACATGAATTTCAAGAAGCAGCAGAATGAACCTTTGCTGACAGAAGTAGAAGTGGAGTGGTTGCCTCTGTAGGACTCGCTGGGAAGAGGCACAAAGAAACTTGAAGAAGATGGAAGTGTTCTCTATCTTGAGCTAGGTGGCGGTTGTATGAGCATATTCATACTTAAAACTTACTTGGGTCCTGGCTGGTTTGGCTCAGCAGTTAGAGCGGTGGCCCGTGGACCAATGAGTCGCAGGTTCAACACTGGTCAAGGGCACGTACCTCAGTTGTTTGGTTGCGGTTCGTCCCTGGCCCTGGTCGGGTTGTGCGGGAGGCAACCAGTTGATGTGGCTGTATCACATCGATATTTCTCTCTGTTTCTTTCTCTCCCTCCCTCCCACTCTGTCTGATGATAAATAGAAAAATATCCTCAGGTGAGGAATTAAAAAAAAAAACAACACAACTTAGTTGAATGGTACAATTAAGATTTATATATTGCCCTGGCCGGTTTGGCTCAGTAGTTAGAGCGTCAGCCTGCGGTCTGGAGAGACCCGGGTTCGGTTCCCGTAAGGGCATGTACCTTGGTTGCAGTTTGTCCCTGGCCCTGGTTGGGTCGTGTAGGTGGCAACCACTCGATGTGTCCCTTTCACGTCGAAGTTTCTGTCTCTGTCTCTTCCTCTCTCACCCTCCCACTCTATCTGAACAAAAAAACAAAACAAAACAAAAAAATGTCCTCAGGTGAGGATTAAAAAAAAAAGAAAAAGATTTATATATTTATTGAACATTAATTTACCTCAATTAAAATATATACAGGGTAGGGCAAAAGTAGGTTTACTGTTCATATGGAAAATAATAATACAAGAATAAACTATTTTGTGTTCTCACCACTGTAAACTTACTTTTGCCCAACTCTAAGAGGCTAATAATATATTTTCATTATTCCTATATATACCTAATAATAATACCTAATATGCATAATAATTATAAATATAATAATGATATTGCTAATAAGAACTATTAACACTTTTTGAGGGCTTACTCTATGCCAGGTATTTTCGAAGCACTTTTTATAGACTGACTCATTTAATCCTATAACATTATGGAGTAGTTGTCTTATTTCCCCCCACTTTACAGAAGAGAAACGCGAAGGCACAGAAAGGCTAGGCTCACCTACCCAGGTTACACAGCTGGCAGTCTAGTTCCAGGCTCTGTGCTCTAACTACTAGGCGGCACTGCCCAGTTCCATCAGCTCCTTCTCACCAACCTTCTTTCCTTCCTGCTCAGAGATGTGCTGAATTTCCTGCGCTCAGGGGACCTGCCGCCCCGGGAACGTGTGCGGGCTGTGTACAAAGAGGCCCAGTACTACGCCATAGGGCCCCTCCTGGAGCAGCTGGAGAACATGCAGCCACTGAAGGGGGAGAAAGTACGCCAGGCATTTCTGGGACTCATGCCCTATTACAAAGGTGAGGGGTGGGCTGCCCAGGCTGCTCAGGGTATGGGAAGGAGGGTTGCAAGGCATCTGTCAGTGCCTAGCCTCCCCCAGAACAAGGGGGCCCAAGTTCATGTGTATTCCTCGACAGGAGACAGTCCCACTTCTTTTCTGCCCTTCCCTCTCTGTCACACTGGGAACATACAGGTTAAGGGGGCCCCTTGCCTGTGACAGTCATCAAATCACATTTCAAAAGGACAGTCCTCATCCCATCCCCTTGGTTTCCCTTTACAGTGGAGAACTATGATCCCTCTTGAAGTTTGTATCCTGCATAGGCCCAAAGAATCCCTTCTCCCTGTCTCTTCCCTCTTGGATCCTGCCATCAGTGGGGCTCTCTGTGCCCCCCCACTGCCTTGCCCCACTCCCCACCTGCCAACCCTTATCCCAGTGATGGCTGCTGTATTTATCCCACAGACCATTTGGAGCGGATTGTGGAGATTGCCCGTCTGCGTGCAGTACAGCGAAAGGCCCGCTTTGCCAAGCTCAAGGTCTGTGTCTTCAAGGAGGAGATGCCCATCACCCCCTATGAGTGTCCACTTCTGAACTCTCTGCGCTTCGAACGGAGCGAGAGTGATGGGCAGCTGTTCGAGCACCACTGCGAAGTGGATGTGTCCTTTGGGCCCTGGGAGGCTGTGGCTGATGTTTATGACCTACTGCACTGCCTGGTCACAGACCTCTCAGCCCAGGGCCTCATCGTGGACCACCAGTGCATTGGGGTGTGTGACAAACACCTCATCAACCACTACTACTGCAAGCGCCCCATCTATGAGTTCAAGATCACATGGTGGTGAGTAGTCCTGGTAGGGAATAGAGTCCCTTCAGGGAGGATGTCCATTCCCCTTCTTGGCTCTGGGAGTCAGATCCCTGGAACGGCTGCTGACTGCCCCAGAACCTGCTGAGGTGAGGACAGTCCGGAGGCACAGCTCCGCGTGGATGGAGGTGCCGCTCTAGTCTCCCCTGCTGTTCCTTGGGGCCAGGCTCAGAGCTTGTGGCCTGTGGGCACTTGGTACCTGCACTCACCCGGCCTTTCCTCCAGGCACAGCAGTCTTGACTTGAGACCGATGGGGTCTGGCTAGCTAGGGCTTGCCAGGAAGTCCAGAGAGGTTTTGTCACTTTCTTGACCTTGTAAGAGAGTTTCTGCCCTTTTTAGAGCCACATTGCCAACATGACCTAGGCATAATCACCTCCTCACCCTGTTCAGGTATTCCTTCCCTGTGCTCAGTGTGTAGGTACGAACATAGAACATGATGGGGGATTTATCCAAGTAGCCACTCCGTGGTCCCTGGCTGAAGAAGGAGCATCTTCTCTCCCTCTTCCCCTAAGAATAGTCCCACACTTTGTTTTAGGACGTGAAAAGACCTTCCTCCCGAAACGCATTCTTTACCACTTTTTGGAGATGTAACCATAGTTGCCAAAACCATGCACCAGGTTGGCCTTAGAAAAGCACAATGTTTACAGCCCAGCTTTGGGCCTTGGCTTCTCCTGTCTTCCACCAACCTTCCTTGCTTGAAGGGTTATCTTCTCACAGGGCTGGATTATACATTTCAGAGGCGCCTTTTGGAGATTCCCTGAGTCAAGCAGGCAAGATGTCTACATCTGTTGTCTTTGAGATGTAACTTCCTTTCTGGAGGCTCAGAATACCTCCTTGGCTGCCATTTCTTCTTTCAGGATCCAGTTGGTGGTAAATCCCCTTTTTTTAAAACAAATCTTTTTTCTTTTTCAATTACAGTTGACATTTTATTACATTAATATTAGGTGTGCAGCATAGTGGTTAGACATTTACCTACCTTACAGAGTACCCATCTGATACCATACAGTTATTAAATATTATTGACTATATGCCCTGTGCTGTACTTTACATCCCTGTGACTATTATTTTTTTAAGTACAGTTTACATTCAATATTATTTTATATTAGTTTCAGGTAGAACCCTCTCTTTATAAAACCTTGCTTTATCCCATTAACACTCCTTCTATGAGAGTATCTGTTCTGGAGAAGTAACAGAAGGGCTGGGTGAGAAGCACAGCTATCCCAGGAGCTGTAGGAAGACAGCAAAGCTCCATTACATTTTACTCCCCACGTTTCAGAGAGAGAAAGATCCGCAAGGTTCTGCTCCCACTGCGTTTCCTCCCTGCGCTGTCTGCAGCCTGGGGCAGCTAGTCAGGGTATGGACATGCATCTCCTAAAAGAAACTATGCAGCACCAGTAATTGGAATATAATATTTCTGTGTTGCAATAAGGGCTTCTCCCTGTACTCAGGATTGTCCTTGACTGCTTCCGGGTGTTTTCATAGGGAGATTCTTTTTATATGTGAAAAGCTGGTGAGGACAGCCTCACTGGTCTCAGTCTAACAAGACCAGATTGGTGAGGTGGGGCAAGAGGGAGCCGAAAACGTCTGCATCCTCCTCAGGAAGAGAAGGCCAAGTCCTGGAACCTTGGCTAAATTCCTTCCTGGGGCAATGACCTCCTGGCCCGAGTGTGGGAACAGAGATCAGAGGTTTTACACTCTTATATTGTATTCTTATGTGAGTGGGGCAGAGATACAGACTGAGATCTAAGAGAAAAGTCTAGTCAGCCCTGCTGGCTCCAAGATACATGTTCTCTCTATTGTTCTCATCCACAATGGGGCGTCACATTTCTGGAGCTGATGTTCCTGCTTGGAGTTTAACCCAACAACATGGCTCTTGCCTTGTTCTAACAGTAAAGTCTTTCGTTTAAGTTGCTCTGATTGGTGTCACTGACTAATGCAAGTTCATTTTTGACAGACACTGAGGCAGGCTATTCAGGAGGAAGTCAGTTTGAGTAGAGAGCAGATAATTAAGTCCTTTGCTTTCAGTAGTCCGGCCTCGACCCCTTCTCTTTCCCACCCCGGCATAGCCCATCACAGTGCTTGGGTATTTAGCGTCCATACATCAAGACTGGCAGCAGCTGGTGTGCTCAAATGCAGGTTTGCTTAAAAACCGGCACTGGAAGACTTACTCTGGGCTACACGGACACTGTCCCTGTGCCTCTCGCTGGAGACACTCGTTTCTCTGTCCCTCTGTGATGTCCTCAGGGTGGTGTGCTCTATGCCACTGTGGGGAAACAGGGTTCTAGGCCAGTAGACCAGGAAGAGCAGGGACACTGGCATCCAGCTTAATTCTCTTTCTAAGTGGAGTAAAAGAATTCAATGGCCCAATTTGGCCATCCTTTGATAAGAAGCCAAGGCCTGTCTGAAAAGTGCTTTTGGATATGCTGGTTTGTGGTAACGGCCTCCAAATAAAGGTTGTCTCTGAGGAAGTGACTTTTCCCAGTTGGATCCCTTTTTAATTCTAAATGGCCAGGCCCAGAGCATAAGAAGGATTGGGTCAGGAAGGAAGGTTCCGGAGGATGACTGCTTCTCCCTGATTAAAAGGAAGTATATTTTTGTAGAATTATTGTGCATCTTGTCAATAAATGCCTCTCCTCCCGACGAGGGACTGGATTCCTCCTTCCATGAGACAGCCAGTGGTTATTGATGGGTCAGAGTGCCTGCCCTCGGAGCTCCCCTTCGATTGGGCGCCTTTACTCCCAGGTGCCAGGCTTACTGGTTGGGAAGGTGGAAGTTTTAGGAGACAGGACTGTATGGTGCAATGTGAGCCGTAACAAAATTCATTGAAAATGTGAAACTTAATGGCAACAAAAAAGACGGAAACAAAACCACAGTGCAACACATTACATCACCCCAGTGGAGGAATTCTTTGGGTAACGCTCTAAATAGAAGAAGTAGAGGATTCATCACCATCCTTATTCTACCTCTGGTTAGTTCTCCAGGCTGTCCAGTGCTTATTGTTTGAAAGCAGTCAGCTGTCTCTGAAAGCTTCTATTCTTTCTTCCTGGAGCTTAGGGTATTCTGGGAAGGGTCTGAGCCTCAGGCTGACCAGGTGTTACCATCTTCCTGTTCTGGGTTGCTCATTGGAGGACTAGGAAATTGACATTTGTAAGCCACAAAGTGGGGTGAGCTTCAGTGTGTGATCTGGGCCTAAGCTGGATCCGGAAGAGGCTCAGATACACAACAGCAGAACAAAAACTACTCACACTGAGCATTTTGATTCCAGTGAGAATTTCAAACATCATCCTTCTGCATACCTTCTGTCTAGATCTGATTCTGGTATACATGATTAAGCTTTCTTGGGTACCATTTTGCCAGGGCTCTTTCATGAAGGTGGTGCCTGCCTTGTGATTCTTAAAAGAGGGAGGCTTTATTCATCAGAAGCTGGAGTATTGGGAACTGGGTTGGGAGAAGCACTTTTTGGAATTCTGGAAGAAACATATACGTAGACATATGTTAATTGGGGGAAGGGTGGGTTGGCAAGGGGTTGGAGGAGGTGGGAACAAAAACTGGGTGCAGTACCAGGAGTTGCCTCTGGAGGATGGGAGGTCGCCTGGGTTCATTGTCTTCCTTCTGTATGGCGTTGAGCTTTGTGTACGCAGGAAAATGCTCGTGTTCTCCCATTACTTGTCTATGAGTGCTTCGGGGCATGGGGCCTCAGTGCCCTCACTGGCATTAAAGTCAACAATTAGAACCTGGGTGCTGTGCCTTTCTTTTTTAGACTTACTCTCATCCTTCCTTGCCCCCTCCCATCCCCCCAACTTTGCCAGCAAATATGTCTTGATTCCTCCTTAAAATGTGGTCTGTTTAGGGAGGGATGCCACACTTCATAAAACAGGCTTTTCCCTGCGATTAGCAGATGAACTCCTGCCCTGACTTGAAGTTAAAAGGTGGAGGTTCTTCTGTAGCCACTCTAGCCTTGTCTCTGCTCCGGGGAGGTGTGCGCCGAAGCACACAGCTCCCTTTCTATTGGGAGGTCTCCAGGGGAAGAAGGTAGCACAGCTGCACAGTCACTTGTATGGCTCACAGCTCTGTCAGCAGTTAGGACAGAAACCCTCCTGTCAGATCACTTTTTCCAAGGGGGAGATAAGTGGCTCTAAGCATGTGTGAGCCTCAGTGGTTAAGACCTTTCCTTGAGGACAATGGGTGTGAGTCGCCCTTCCTCCCAAAGCAGGGTTTCGACACCTTCCTGGCTGAGTGTCCTCATCAAGATACCCCTTGGTGTCACTTCATGGATTAACCCAGAGAGGTGAGTTCTGAAGTGGTGGCTAGCTTTGCCACCCTCCAAATGGAAATGGGGAAGGGATTAAGGAAAAAACCCTCATAGACACAGACAACAGTATGAGGATTACCAGAGGGAAAAGGGGGTAGGGGAGGTGGAAGAGGGATAGGGGGATAAATGGAGACGATGTTGGGTAGTGAACAGACAATCCAATATACAGATGCTGTATTAGAGAATTGTCCACTTAAATCTAAATTTTAAAAAATCTCCGATCATTCTAACTTTTAAACAAAAATACTTTATCATCTGTGCCAAATGTATTCCCTGACCTAATTACTGTGCCACACTCACATAGTAATAATACACTAATAATACCTTACAAATTGCAGACTGAAGCTCGTAGAGGTATAATTTCCCCAAGGGCACATAACCAGTAAGTGGCAGAGCCAGGATGCAAACCCAGAGCCCTCTTCTGAAACCCTCGCGGGTGTTCAACAACAGAGCCCTCCTTTCCACTTGGCAGCTCAGTGTCCCACCTCTGAGGCTCAGGGCCGAGCCCTGCCGAACCTACAAAGATTTGAAAAGCAAATACTCTAAAAGGATATTAGAAAAACTCCCTTAGATGTGTGTGTCTTGAGTAGCCCTGAGCATTAAGGAGATAATGGGGTCCCCAATGTTCGCTAGGTGGTGAAAGGCCCTACTAATGGGACATTGGAGGTTGACTTCGCAGGTGAGTAATGACTCCCTGGCTGGACGCTATGGTGGGACAGCCCCAGTTAATCAGACTCGTGCAGCCCACAGGTTTAACCACACACACATGTGCTATGCAGCTTTACCATATGGGGAGGTACACCCAGGGTCATGGCCTTTGTTCAGGGACCCTGGTGTCAAGAGAATAATTGAGTCGGAGACTCTAGTTTAGCTCAGGGGACACTGTGTGCCTTTCTTGGGCTCATGACCCTTGGATTCCAGGTGACTACTCTGCCAGTGTGTCCTTTGTCATCATTTTGAAGATGATGATCTTCTAGATGACTTTACATACTTTTCATTTTGGCTTATTTAACTTATGGCCTGTTCCTTTACCTTTTATTTACTTACATTTAACTTTCTGTACTTTGATTCCTTATCATTTTGTTTCCCCTGTCATGTACTTTAGCTTTCGCTCTCTTTTTTTTTTTTATCCTCACCCGAGGACATTTTTCCATTTTTTGTACAGATAGAGTGGGAGGGAGAGAGAGGAAGAGAGAGAGAGAGAGAGAGAGAGAGAGAGAAACATCGACGTGAAAGGGACACATCAAGTGGGTGCCACCCGCACGACCAGCCAGGGCCGGGGACAAACTGCAACCGAGGTACATGCCCTTAGCGGGAACCAAACCCAAGTCTCTCTAGACCGCAGGCCAACGCTCTAACCGCTGAGCCAAACCGGCCAGGGCAGCTTTCTCTTTTTTTAAGATATGATTTTAAACTTTATTTCTTAAGTCAAAGCTTCTGCTTAATTAAAATTTTTTTTTCAATTACAGTTACCATTCAATATCATATTGGTTTCAGGTATACAACATGGTAGTTAGCTATTTATATAACTTATGAAGTGATCCTCGAGTATGTCTTGCACCCACCTGACACTATATATAGTTATTATATTATTGACTATATTCC